TCACTTTTCTAGCATCCAGAGCCTCTACAGAAACTGATTTCTTCAAAGGAAACAAAATATAAATATCTTCAGCATATGATTCTAAGTGTAACATAAAAATGGGCTTCTCAAAGGAGTTTTTAAATATGGGTAATTCTTAGCAATAATTCAGATCCATTGTAAACATTACTAAAACCATCACTTGTGTAGCACAGTACTAACTAGTAGTGCAAATAGACACTTATAATAACCACCACTTGTATGTGTTAACTTGTTGCTATGTAAAAGCACTCTTTCAGGAACTTTAAGATGTAGGCAGTGCCTCACAGAGGCAAAATTTGAGTTCTAAGCCAGCCAGGTCTGTGTCCTGAGAACTCATCTCAAATTAATTTCTATAATATCACGATAGTAATTTTTCACCCCATAGTTGAGCCTTAGCTAGACATCCTGTTTTAAGATCACAACATGCTCATATACATTAATGGACATGTTCATATACATATTTATGTTCAACAAATTTTTGAATTTTATTTTATATCTATTTATATGAACTGGAAATACTTGTTTTACACTTGCCTTTAATATGGAAAGTAGATGCAGGCTTAATAAATTAGCCTCAGCTCTCTGAGCACATTATTCAAACTATTATAGTTGTAGCTTATACTGTTTAAAAAGATAAACCCTTAGAGCAGTGTTCTCAACCTTCCTACAGCGTCAAACCGTTAATGTTGTGATGACCTCCAACCATAGAATTATTTTCATTGCTACTTCATAACTGTAACTTTACTACTGTTATGGTAGTGTAAATATCTGATATGTAGGATATGTGATATTTGACCCCTGTGAAAGGGTTGGTCAACCCGCAAAGGGGTCATGTGACGCACAGATTGAGAACCATTTGTTGCCTTGGAGTAATTGAATCTGCCTTTCCCAAGCACAGCTACCTTAGACTCTTAGACTCCCAATTACCTTTGCATTTATATGCTAAATGTTTCTTCTTGGAATGGGCTCTGGATGCCATAATAAACCCCTGGAAGATTAAGAAATAGAGGAAAATGGACTTGCACAAGTGGCCTGAAACATAGTATTCAAGTTAGGGTGGTAACAACGAAAAAGATAAAAACCTAAAACCAAAGACTAGAAGAAGCAGGAACTTGGTAGATGTCTTGGTGTTGGTAATGACCTGCCTCAGAGGTGCTTGCCAAGGAAGCCCGCTACTGCAGAGCCCAGTGGTTGGATAACATAAGTGCAATGATGAGGAAACATTTGTGTTATTTTTATTGAGCATTTTAGTGGAGTATTGATCTTCTCATTTAGAACGATCCCTCCTTTGGAGCTAACTTAAGGTAAATGTTAGCTTCTCCATCTCTTTGCATGGCTGAAGACACAGAAACTGAAAGGCAGGGTCTGCTTGGTACGGAGTGCTTTAACCCACAAGCTTCCTTAAAGAGAAAGAAAGCTCCAGCAGATAATTCAGGTGCACTTAGTTATTTAAAGGTGTGGATGTCTGTTTGCCTACTTAGTTTACTGAGATGATAACCCAGTGTATCTCCCTTGGTCTGTGTCAGCAGATATAGTTTACATATTTTTAAATTTATTTTTTATATTCCAATCCCAGTTCCCCCTCCCTTCTCTGTTTCAACTCCCCCACCCCAATCTGCTCCTCGAAGAGGGTAAGGCCTCCCCTAGGAAGTCTACTAAGTCTGTCCCATCATCTCGTTAAGTCAGGACCAAGGCACCTCTCCACCCCCGATAACCCGTGTCTAGGCTGAGCAAGGTATCTCTCCATATAGAATGGGCTCCACTAAGTCAGTCTGTGCATTAGAGTTAGATCTTGGACCTGTGTCCAGCCACACCATTGTCACCTATATTAAAGAAGTCTAGTTCAGTCTTATGCAGGTTCTCCATTTGTGAGACCTGAGTCAGTGATCTCTCACTAGCTCGGGTCAGCTGATTCTGTGGGTTTTCCCATCACGGTCTTGACTCCTTTGTTCATATTATCACTGCTCTCACTTCAGTTGTACTCCAGGAGCTTGGCCCAGTGGTAAGTGTGGATTTCTGCATCAGCTTCCATGGATTTCTGAGAAAAGGTTCTAGCTTCTCAGGTTGTAGATTATGGGCTGGGTGTCTTTTGCTTTATATCTGGTGTCCACTTATGAGTACTCACTATATTTTTCTTCTGATTTTGTGTTACCCCACTCAGTATAGTTTTTCTAGTTCTGCCCATTTGCCTGTGAATTTTAGGATGTCATTGTTTCTTACTGCTGAGTAGTACTCCACTGTTATGAGTAAGGTTTTTCCAGCAGCCTGGTCCCACAGCCACGCCAGCCCCAAATAACACACAGAGACGCTGTATTAGATAGAATTCTGCTGGCCTGTTACTAGTTTCTTATCGGCTAGCTCTGTCTACATTATTAACCCATTTCTATTAATCTAAGTATTTCCACGTGGTCTCATCTTACCGGAGAGAGGGGCTGGCGTTCTTCCCTCTATCCTCCATCTTGACCCTCCCTACTACTTCCCGAATCCTCCTTGTCTCCTAGTCCCACCTATCTTGCTTTCCAATTGGCCAACAGTGCTTTATTCATTAACCAATAAGAGAAACATATTTACAGAATGACATCTCCCATCATCTCTTTTCTGTCTAAAATAAAAAGGATTTTAACCTTAACATAGCAAAATATATCACACAACAGTTATCAAATAAGAATCACAGTTAACAATATTTAGTCCATTAACATTTAGTAAGATTTAAAGAAAATATTCTATCATCTATCCTATCTTCATGAGTCTAAAGTCTTATATGTAACTTATCTTTTATCCTAAGGTAAACTATAACCTTAACTATCTGTCTTCAGCTCCTTCAAAGACCACAGAAGGAAATATATATATACATACACTCTAGAAATGAGAGAGACAACTCACTGCCTGGTCAGTCACCCTAAGTTCTGTAATGTTCCATCTTCAGCCCATAGGCCATAGTGTATCTGGCAGACTCCTCAGCAAAGCAGGAAACTTTAAACTGTCTTCTTATATTGGCAGTTTGTCAGTCACTTTTCTCTGTGTCCTGCAGACTGTCTGGCAGACTGTTCCATGAAGCAGGAACTGTGTAGCAATGTCCATCTTGAATCAGCAGTCACTTTTCTGTGGATCCTGCATGTCCAGTTTATACAGCATAAAGTCAAACAGTCCAGACAAGAGCAGTATCTTGTCCAAATGGCTAGTCTTGCCATATTGAAAGCAAATTCCATAACGTGTTTCTTCAAGGTCCATCTTCCTTTCTGATGCAGGTGGTGTTGCCAGGAGCATTTGTGCCTCACTGTTAAGAAAAACCTTAAACTGTTTTAAATGCCATATTCTGTAGGTCTTTAAAAGGTTTGAAGAATGCCTATCCATCTCAAATGCATCTTGCAAACCTAACTAACTTAACTCTAAGTTTTCACTGTCATAGGTAACTATCTATAATCTATACTAATTATACATTATATTTCTAAATGAATTATAGAAAGAAACACAATACCTAAACAAGAGGAGAAATATACATATCACAAAATTGACCTTAAATTGTATCAATAAATGAAAATCCATTCCAAGCAAAGTATTCATATCTATACCACTCCACTATGTAAATATACCACATTTTCTTTATCTGTTCTTCAGTTGAGGGTCATCTAGGTTGTTTCCAAGACTATTACAAATAATGCTGCTATGAACATAGAGGAGCAAATGTCCTCGTGGTGTGAATGTACCTGCTTTGGGTTTATGCCCAAGAGTAGTATTGCAGGGTCTTGAAGTAGGCTAATCCCAGTTGCTGTATAAGTCTGCACTCCCACCAGCAATGGAGGAGTGTTCCCCTTTATCCACATTCTCGTCACCATAAGCTGTCAATGGTGCTTTTTTATCTTAGCCATTCTGATTGGTGTAAGATGGTATCTCAGAGTTGTTTTGATTTGCCTTTCCCTGATAACTAAGGATTTTGAGCATTTCCCTAAGTGTCTTTCTGTCATTTGAGATTGTGTTGTTGAGAATTCTCTGTTTAGATCTGTACCCCAGTTTTTAATAAGACTATTTGGTAGTTTGATGTCTAGTTTCTTGAGTTCTTTTGTATATTTTGGAGATCAGCTCTCTGTCAGATGTGGGGTTGGTGAAGATCTTTTCCCCTTCTGTAGGGAGATGTTTACATATATATATATAGTTTACATATTTTTAATGGGTTTTATAGCATAAATATACAATCTTGATAAAGAGTTTCTATTACATTTCAGAATAGTGCCTTCATTATTTGTCTACATATGGTGAACTTAAGAAAAAAAACAGGAAATGATAGAACAAGCAATGCAGTAAAATTTAAAACAGTAGATGAGTAAGTGTGGCTTAGAGAAAATATTTTCCTTGGGTCTTAGTTGTCTGTTCTGCTAAATTTAGTTTTTGCATGATATGTGTTCCTATCATATGAAAGGGTATAAAGTTGGTTATAAAAAGTTGTCCTGGCATTGGGGATGGTAAAACATGACTGTAATCTCAGCAGTGTGGACTCAGAATCACACACAAGGAGAGGGGGAGAGAGGAAGGATGGAGAGAGAAACAAGCAGGGAACTTGTTTTCAACAGGGCTGTTATTCACCTAACAGTATTTTATTCATTATTACCAGTACATGCGTGATTATGTTCATAAACATATTAAATTGGTGTTTTAAAGACTTTTACATGACTAAAACTGGTACTTCAGGAGAACAAAATCTGAACTTCATTACTAAATTTTTTAACTTTAAAAAAAATTAACTTTAAAACTGAAGTTTTGCCTTTTACTAAAATAGAGGGATTTTTTTTTCCCCAGAATAGAAAATGACAAATGTCTTGAGGGGGTAGAGACACTTGGCATGTGTGCATGTGTGTCAAAACATCACAACTCACCCCAGAATTACATAACAGTATCATGTGTCAATTTAGAAAATCAGTTAGTTAACAGATGATGGGGTGGGTAGATTTTCCAAAGTCAGTAGACAGTGCAAAAAGCTAACGTTGGCCCTGAGTCATGGCCAGCAGTTGCTAAAGCTGTTGGTTTCAAACTGAGGCCTAAAGAATGTCTTTCTGTGATCCAATGGCCATTGCAAAGATTTGGAAATGTAATGGTCGATTCATTAGAAAGAAACATCTGGAAAAAGAAAGCAAACAATACTATGAAACATGTAAAAAATCATTGTAACATGAGATTGGTCAAGTGAGCATCAGAAGGATAATTGTGTTTGTTTTCTTGTCTTCCTTCAAGAATGCTTATCATCATCATCATCATTATTGCATAGTGTGTGAATTTGTATGATGCTAACGATGCTTGTCTGGCATTTAACATTATTTATTTATTTTTATTTCTTTGGCTTTTTGAGACAGGATTTCTCTGTGTATCCTTAGCTATTCTTGGCTGTCCTGGAACTCATCGGGATCCACCTGCCTTTGCCTCCTGAGTGCTGAGATTAAAGTCATGAGCCACCACCACTCAGCTCTAGTTTATCTTAATGGTACAACTTTGAGTTGCATTTTCTGTATACGGTATGGGAACCTCTTCTTAACTGTGAGGAATACATTCTGAGATTCACTAATGTAGAAATGCATGGGCATGTCTGGACTACCGGTAATAATATTCTTTGTTTGTTTGTTTGTTTGTTTGTGAGACAGGGTTTCTCTGTGTAGACCAAGCTGGCCTCGAACTCAGAGATTAACCTATCTCTGCCTCCCAAGTGCTGGCATTAAAGGCATGTACCACTACCCAGCTCAGTAACACTATTCTTGAACATGGATTATTTGAAGATGGGTTTATAGGCAGATAGCATCTATAGCATGGATACACTGGAAAAGCAACTTCATGTTCTGTGCAAGATGCTGCCCGATCATACTTAATTTCAAACATTTATTTCTGGAATTTTCTGAAACCATTGATTATAGGGCCCTTCAGCTCTAGCTTGGTCCGTCCTTTGCCTGGAGTCGAGTTTTACCGTGCACTGGCGTGTTTGGGTAGGGCTCTGTATGTCTGCTCTGCTCTACTCTACTCTACGGCTTGCACTGCGGTCCTCCTTCACAGGTCTGCCTGAGACAAAACCCAGAGTCTCACACACGCTTGGCAAGTGCTCTCTCCCCTCAGCTGTTTCCGGGTCCATAAATCTATTACAATTGTAAGTTTCCTGGTTTTCATTTCACAGCTATATGCAGGAGCTATCCTTGAAGTCTGTGGATGAAAATTGGGGAGGTTCCCTCAAGTCCAAGGTATGTAGCCATCATTTAAAATTGTCATTTGCAGGAATAATGAATTTCACTAAACACTCCCAGGAATGTGGATTTTCAGAAGTATACCCTGTAGCAGTATATGAATGTTCTCCATTCTTTTTTCCAGAGGTGGGATTTTAATAGAAACGATGCCAACCAGGTTTTTTACCGAAACACAACACATGAAAGCTAGATATAAAACAGAGCCTAAAATGATTCTTTCTTTCTTTAGAAATATATGCTTGTCAGGTGTAAATTTTAGGGTAGCTTTTCTTTCAGCAGGTAGAAAAAGAATTCCTTTGACTAACACACTCTACTATATTTTTTAGTAGAAGTTAAAGAACATTGCATTAAGGTAAAGTAGGCTTATTCAGCCAGCGTGACAAACTAGCAAGAAGAGAATTAATGACCACAGAACTTAGAGATGCATTAGAGAGTCATTCCGTATGTGTTATCACAGGGAATTTAATGACAAATGTGTTCAGAAATAATTGTCAAAGTCTGTTCTTGCCATTAAAATCAAACTGTGATGAGCCTCACATCTCGGGGAAGTCTTCACTAAGGCTTTCTAGTATAGCCTTGCATGATTTTAATCCCACCACTTGGGAAGCGGAGCCAGGTGGGTCTCTGAATTCGAGGCTAGCCTGATAAAATGAGTTCTAGGACAGCCAGGGATGCACAGTGAGATCCTGTCTGAAAAATCACCGAAAAGGAAGAGAGAAGAAAGTGAGCTCTTTGGGGTGGCTCTTTCTTGCTTTTGGTTGGGGCTTCTGCGGCTCGGGTCTCACAGTAGTCCAGCGGGCTGCAAGCTCAAGTGACTGGGTCCTGGTGAGCCTGTGTCACCACCGCTAGCTTTCTTTCTAAGTTGAAGTACATGCGGTTCTTTTTGTGTGCCTAAAACCTGTTTAGATTTTTGGCACAGACTCAGCATCCTCCGTGTCTGCCTCAGCCTCCTGAATATTGTGCTTACAGCTGTGCACACCCATATTTAAATTTCTATAGAGTTTCTCAGTTGCCCTTCGTTACTTTGTAAATTTTATTGTGGAACTACCATAAAAGTACAAACTGGGCTCACTGATCCCAGGTCGGAAACAAAACTGAGGCAACTATTACTTCCCTTACATTTTAAAAGTGAAGTTATTTAGCTGTTTCTTTTTTATTGTCTGTGCTGAAGATGGGGCCAGGACCCTACCTGCTGCTATGACAACATTCTACTGCTGAGCTATGTCCCTAGGCCTCTGAGCATGCATTTTAATGTACATTTTCAGTTTACCTCCTCCATCAAAACATGGGGGCCTGTTTTATCTGATACAAAAATGTCGGATTTAGTAATAAATTGTTTTACATGAGAGCAGGAGAAAGGCCTTTTGGCATCTTTAAATTGTTTATGTTAAAGAAGGGGCACTGTTTTATCTTCAAGTTGGTTTTTAAATGTCAGTTCTTTACCTTCATCTTTGTTACCCATGTCTTTGTCACTCCAACATAGTGAAATTTTTCTCTCAGCTCAGAAGAACTTATTTGCGTTGTTTATGGCATGGCATTTGGGGTGAGGCATATCTTAGTAGTAGAGTGGCTACCCAGAGTGCCAGCCTGAGGTCTCCTGGGTTTCACCCTTGGCATCAGACAAGGTGTGGAGAGAGGAGATGAGAGTAGTGGCATTGATTTGCCTTGGTGCTGGCGGTTCAGTCTCAGCCCAGCGGCAGGGATTGCTTTGTTTCCTTTCCATTGCACACTGCACTGGGCTGGATAACACCTCATACGGGTGTGTGACATGCTCTGAGCATGTGTCCACCCCACACTTCTCTCCCTTCCCACACTCAGTCGTATGTTTCCTACAAACTCTAGGCACCAAAATGAGAGAAAGCCAACACTGTTGGTCTTCCAGGGCTGACTCAGTTCACTTAACATGACCCTTTGTATGGATCCCCTTTATCTCTTGGAGGTCTAAGATTGTAGCCTTCGTGGCATTAAAGAACCCATGATGTCATGCAGTCTGTGCAGTACAATCTCATATAATTCTCAAGTAACTGTTAAAAGCTCCATTTACTGCCTGTAAGGCGGGGCTTGCTGCTACAATACTCCCCTCTTTCAGAATTATGCTTCTGGGTCTATGTTTAGCAGAAAAGAAAACCCCCTGGGATTGATCATTAGTGATTCACCATGGCATTCCTTTTAAGCCTGTTCACTCAGTCCAGCCCATTAAAAGGCATTTGAATGAATGGAAATTATTAAATGTGCTGACAGCTCTGCTTGGTGTGTAGGAAAGATTTCAGAGAGTCTTTTTCCCATAGTAGTTTCTTACATAGTTGAAAAAGTGGCTCAAATAGCTGGAAGTGTGTCAAGTGTCGGCAGTGTTTGCCGGGCATGCGTAGAAGATGAGCAGTCAGTTAATCTACGACACAGTGTTCATTGGCTGCAGTACATTTTTGTTTTCCATCTATTTGGGTTTTTCTGTGCTTGTAAGATCTAACTAACAATTTTTACCTTTTTTTTTTTTTTTAGTTACTTAATCACAGTTTAGGGGATTATTTGTTTAGTGTCTTCTTCACCAGATTATACACTTAATAAGGGTGAGGGTTATATATGTTTTATGTACCTTTGCCTTTGCTGCCTGCAATATACGTAGTAAATATCCAATAAATGTCTTTGCAAATGTAAATTCTTACTCCCTCTGTAATATAAGGTGTTTTCTAAGTAACTGACAGTGTCCATTGACTAACCCACACAAGCACACCCCTCAAGTGTGCATACCTCCACCGCTACCACCTCCCCTTGCTGCCCTCCGTAACGTCCTCACTTAGAGACTCTTACAGGTATTCTGTTCTGGGTTTCTGGTTCGGATTAACGGGTCGGGGATGGGCTCACATATAGGAAAACTGATTCCTTTTGTACTGCCACAGCTGTTCATGGCTGAGCTGTGCTGTCACTCTGCCAAGCCCACAAGCCACCGTTGGAATCTGGGGTATTGATCAGTTTGAGACAATGTCTTAAATGTTTAATAGGGAGATCTCTACATTTATTCATCTGTTTAAACTTCCTTAGTTTTCACCTAGGGCGTACTTGGTTTCTTTCAGCGTGTTAGATTTAATCTCCATAGCTAGCTTGGATTTAGATGTGACCCATTTGAATCTATTTTTTCTTCTTTTCTTTTTTCCCCCTTTAAGCTTTTGTCAGAAGCGATAAGCCCAAACTGTTCAGGGGTCTACAGATCAAGGTAAGGGGACAAGGTGGATCTTTTAACTTACTAGACCTTTTTAAAGATTAGTTTGTGATTTACCAAAAATGCTGAGTCAGGTGTTTAATAGACTTTAACCCTATTCTCCCACTAAGTTTCTGGATGTAATATCCTGGGTTGGATGGTGTGGTGCAGTGTCTGGAATTGAAAGCACTGTTTTGTTCTTCTTAAAAATGCTGTTTTGTGGTACATTTTCATAGTTCATATGAAATATGGCTAGACTGTCTTAAACTTGCAACTTCTGACTGTTGGCAATAGAGATTGGTCATTAATTGTACCCACAGTTCAAGTCTTTTCTGAAAAATACTTTCTGTTGATTGTGACATGTTATTAAAACATGTGACATGTTTTAACATGTTGTTAAAATTATTAGCACAGTTAGTTGAGCCATTTTGGTCTTGGGTGAGAATAAAAAACCTCCTTCTAAGCAGGAACTAATGATGTCTCTGGTCTTTGTAGTATGTTCGCGGTTCAGACCCTGTCCTAAAGCTGTTGGACGACAATGGGAACATTGCAGAAGAGCTGAGCATCCTCAAGTGGAACACGGACAGTGTGGAAGAATTTCTCAGCGAGAAGTTGGAACGCATATAAATCTTGCTTCCTTGTTCTTTTCATACTTAACAGAAAGGCTATCACAGCACCTAGAGAATAGTTTAGTTTTGCACGCTTACATTGGTCGGTCTTTTTATGTACATCATTAATGTTCTGTTTAGAAGTTGACATAGCAACACAGTCCATAGTATGTAAGGATCTGGCAAGCTTAACAAACCCATTTCTTAGAAGTTTCTGCTCTCCACTTGTTGATATCATTAATGACGTGCTTTGTAAGCGGCTTCTGGTTAATTATGCAAATACTAGCTTGTGATAATTGGTCCAGTTTTATAAACAACAGAATCTTCAATAAGGGAAGTTAGTAAAGGAGACGCCTCCTTTGCTGTGTGCTCCTTTGAAAGTAACTGACAGAAAACTACAAAATAGTAAGATAGAGTGGACCTCAGCAACGAGCCCACTCCTCAGAGCCCCTCAGATCTTTTGTATTGCCCAGCTTTCTTTTTAGTGGAAGCTTTTGTGCCACGTAAAATTTTTGTAGCCTTATTATTATGGGACAGATTGAAAATCTACAGTAAGAGTGTAAACTCATAAAGGTTTGCATTAATGAGGATTACACAGAAAACCTTTGTTAAGGATTTGTGTAGATCTGATAATTGGCAGATTTTTATGTTTTTAAATATATTCTTACAGAAGAGTTCCATTTAAGAATGTTCATTTGTAGGACCAAAATATAAATAAAAATTTTCAAAAATGTTTGAATTTGAAATTATTCTGGTTTAACCTCCTTTTTAAGCCAAAAATACAAAAAAAAAAAAAAAAAAAATGACTGTATTAATTGGAACTTAATAGATTTAATTGCAAACAATGTGGAGTGGTTATTAACTTATCAGCTGTCTTTTGTCATGTAACATCTAAAACTAAGTAAGACAATGAATACAAACTTGTATACCTTGGCTCATCAAATAGTATAAGAAATACTGGCAAAGGATGTTCTGCTTTTGGTTGTCTGCAGTGATGCCCAGGGCTTGTGATTGGACAGTCCAGGTCTTGGTGAATGTGCCACTCATCCTTAGTGGTTATTGCTGTTTTAGAACAAGAGGGAGATTAAGCCGGTTGTGGACAGAGAAGTTGCCACCACAGACAGAAGAATAGAGGTATTGAAGGATGAAACTTCAAAAAAGAACTTCTGGCATTGACACAGAAAATAAATTGGACTGGTTTCCGGGCAGGAAAAGCCAGTTAAATGAATATCTGCTTGGGGAGGGGAGAGGAGGGAGATGTTTTAAAAGAGGCCTGAAAAGTCTATTGTCTTCTAGTAAGGGGAGATCAGAGAAGCCGAACCCACAGTATCCAGAGCTGAGCCTAACAGCGGTTGCTCCAGCCTACATTTTAATTGGGAGTTCCAAGTTCATCAGCCAATTCAAAGTGGGTTTGCCCATTGAAATCAAAGAACAGCTTTTTAAAGAAACAAAACTTCTGATTACCAAGAAAGGGGTATACAGTGTGATCTAAAATGTGCCGTCTTTATACCCAATTCCTGGTTCAGGGTTGAATTTATTCAAAGTCACATAGTTGTGACTTTTCTCTGCCTTCAAAATTTTGTTATTAATAACTTTAACTGTGTTAAGTTCTCTAAGTTTTGCACAGTTTTTAAATAAGGGCCTGTGAGCTAGACCTACCTTATCCTGCTAAGAGGATTAAAGCTTGAAAATGATTCTAAAATTGAAAGTAGAGTGCTCTGAACAGGAACACATAACATAATGCATAGGCTGACAAGAGATCTTGCTTGACACTCTAGGCATGTAATTGCTCATGGCTCCTGGAACAAAGGTTCTGTAGGCACTGGTACTACAGAACATAGGAACTGCCACGAAGGGCAAGAGTCAACTGGGTTTTTAGACAGTCTTACTGAAATGAAATTCACATAATTTAGATGTGTTAACAACGTCATTCTCCACTAAATGGTCTTCAGGGGAACCGGCCTTCTCCGCCTTCTATTGTTTTACTTTTGGTTTTCTTTTCCCCCCGGCTTCATTGCGGAGACCAGAACTCTTCACATAGGATTGTGGTCTCTCTGCAGTCCAAGACGGACTATAGACATCTCAACAACAAAACACACAATCGTGATTAAAATGATGACGAAAGAACATTACTAGGAGAAAATTACATACGAGACAGACATGTTAGGCATCTTGGAGAATGTGAAGTATGCAGGAAGAGACCAGAGGTCACCTCTTCCCCCCCCCCCAACCCATACTGCCTGTGAGCCCCTGGGCTCTTCCTGTCCCTGCCTCCCTAGCCCTGGGCTTACAACAATGCCACCAACACAACAGTTTGTTTTTTAACACAACAAAAAAGCAAGGTTGCTGAGGATCAAACTCTGGTCCTTGTTCTTGCAAATACTTTACAGACTAAGCAATCTCCCCAGACCCAAGTCGAGCATTTGACACACCCAAAGGTGGTCAACATGTCTGACAGAGCCCAGGTAGTCAGGTGAAGTAATAGTGAAAGACCGTAGGAAGGAGGCAAAGGCCACACAACCTGCCCACTTAAGAGTTTAGCTGTATTCTAAATTCTCAGAACAAGAAAAAGCTTTAAGTAAGGGAATGACTAAGTTCAGCTGTGACGGTCATGGACGAAGAGCAAGTACTCATTGATGCCTATCGCATGATTTCATTGAAAGTAATCTCTTTAGGAGTCTCAAATGTATGATATGTTTTTTGATGTTTTCTCCCCCCCCCCCAATTTGCTTTCTAAAACTACTCAGCTTCCTTTGAGGGAGAATACAATACAAACCTAAGCATAAATGTTAAATTGATTTTCCAGTGTTCATTTGCATATACTCAGCCCTTAGAGTGTATTCCCTAGCTTTGTGAAACATGGGGGATTTTGCGTACCCCATTCTCTTTGGGCCCTCCTCCTGTCTTGGATCTGTTGCTCTTTTGATAGGATCTCCCTTTGCTGTCCAGGCCGGTCTTGAATTTCTGGGTGAAGAGATCTCCTTGCTGCAGCCTCCTGAGTCACTGCAGACCAACATGAATCTCAAGCGTAGCCCTTCATAGAACCAGAAAGAAATATTAAGTGTCTCACTGTGTAGCCAGGCTGATTAGGAGTCCTGCTGCCTCAGCCTGCTGAGTGCTGGGATTACAAGCGTGCAATCCAGCCATCCCATCTGCCACCAGCCAAGATGCCAGGCCTTCTTTCATCCAAACCACTCCAGATCTACAGCTCTAGTCTGCTTAAATGTGCTCTGGTTCCACTCTTTCTGGCTTGTGCATCAGGATAATGACCTAGATCCCAGACTATGACACACTCCTGACCTTACCCTGCCTAACGTGATCCTATTAACAGTGGCTTGAACACTCAGCAAACTCCCTATAGCCAAGTTTCTTTCGAAGCAGTGACCCCCAAAACCTAATGAAAATGGTCCATGGGAGCAGATCATCTGTTTCGTGAGGCTCCTTCCTTAACACAGCTGCCTCATGACACTGACTATCAGTCCCTTCCCCCAAGGTAGCCTGGGTTTCCTTCCAGGATGGTCTTTCTTTCATGCATGGTCCAGCAATACACTCAGTGAAGGAATAAGATTATTAACATTCTGTCACTGTAACAAAATAGGTATCAACTTCTAGGAGGAAGGGTATTCTGACTCATGGTTCCACAATGCTTGGCCTGTTGCTTTGGAGCCCTTGACAGACATACTTCATGTCAGGAAACACCTAGCAAAGAATGCTGTTCATCTCACAGATGCTGGGAGATTTTAAAAAAAAAAAAAAAAAAAAAAAAAAGGAAGCCTGGGATTCCAACATTCCCTTCCAGGCATGTTGCCAATGACCTAATATCAACACCAGGCCTCATGTAAAGGGTCCCCTGCGTCCCAAAAGCAACGCAGGCTAAGAGACAGCCTTCAACACTTGGACTTTGGGAGGTATTCAAGATCCAGGCTGTCCTGCAGGTGTCGAGTTTTGCAAGTACGTTTTAAATATTTTTGTGTTGTGTGTATGTGGGCAGAAGAGGACACTGGATGCCCTGGAACTGGGATTATAGGTAATTATGAGCTGGTTGTGTGAGTGCGGAGAACCTAACTCGGGTCCTCTGCAAGACCCGTGAGCCCTCTCAACTGCTGAGCCATCCCTACCGCTGCAAGATTTACTTTTCTCTATGTATACGTGTATGAACCTGCATGGCTGTATGTATAGAAGCTCAGGGAGGCCAAATGAGGATGTCTGATTCTCAAAGGGTGGGTTACAGGTGGTCCTGAACTGCCCCAATATAGGGCTGGGAACTGAACTCAGGTCCTCTGGAAGAGCAGCCTGTCACTGATAAGCCATCTCTCTCTCTGGTCCCCCCCCCAGGCACATTTTAACATGTGTGCACTACCCCTCTGCAGCCAGTACATTGGTAGTAAGCCTGGTGGGAAAGGGGGTTGCACATTTTTCTTTTGCCCTCAGGATTTTTCTTCCATGTGGGACTTTGAGAAACCTTTAATCTCTTAACTGCAACTCCTGATCAGTCAGTTCGTTTGTTAGGCATTCTGGAGACTCAGCAGGGAACACAAAGTCAGTGTTAACATATCTAATGTAAGCAAAGCAACTTAACCAGCTTTGAACTCGAATATCTCCAAGTTCAGTACAAGGCCCTCAGCCTTATATTCCACTCACTTTCTCTGCACAGGTCAGTAATTGTATATATCTGGTCACTTTATCTGTAATTTGTATAAATGAACATTATATTCTGGGATAGTACCTATGTTTAATAATTTCATATCTCATGTATTGGCTTGGCTAGGCTACAGTACCTAGTCTCTTCAAACAATGCAAGTGGCTATAAAGGTTCTTTCTGGGTGTGATTAGCATTTACACAATGACCTCTATAATGTAGGCAGTGAATTATCTTAAGAATAACTGGTAACCTCAAACATAAGGTTTTCTTACACAGACTTCTGTGTTAAATCTGCCTCATAGAAACCCTGCCTGGGTTTCGAGACTGCTAGCCTTCTCTATGAATACCTGACTTAGAACAGCAATATTACTCTGCTAGACTTCCCAACCCTTCCAACTGCATGAGTCAGTTTCTTAAAATAGAAAAAAAAAAAAGCCCATAGAATTTACATAATATGTCCCATTGTTTGCTTCTCCAGAGGACACCTACTCACTCCTTGCAGTATTGTGCCCACTGGTGATTGACAGTCTGCACTTACATGGATTAACAAACAAAGGACGGTGTACATTTAGACTGTTGTAGGTTCCCTGTACAATCTATGTTCCGAGATTGGCCACCTGTGACTTAGGCTCCTCTTCAAAGCCACCTGCTCTTTTTACCGTGGTTGTTTCCCTCGTTAGGAATGACACATGGGGTTGTGTTTATAATTGGCTGTGCACAGGAAATACAGCTATAAACAATCACTTAACACTGTTTGCAAGGAAACCCAACAGATTTTTAAAGCCATCTTTTGTATGAAAACAATGTCAGTTGACTCAGAAGTTTCTATAACCAGAACAATAATGTAGAAAATATGTTTTGTGATTGATTTGCAAACAGACATGGAAAAGTTGCTGGGTAATAAATGAGCCCTGAATGAAATACCTCTTTTCAAATGAATGTAATTTTTTTCAACAGAGTTATTGTGTTAGAACAGGAGGAGATGATAGATGTAATGTCTTCAGTATAGCTAGGTATTTTATTTTGCCTGGTGTTACAGAGTTGTTTGTAAACTAGAAAAATAAATATGATGTAACACCTCGGTTCTTAAGTA